AACGCACTCAACAAGCAACACAGTAGCGCCTTCATCTCTGTCTCAGCAAACTTCTTCCCTATGCATCCTCTCGGACCGTTAAGGAACGCTAAATATGCGTTCGCTGTGAACGTCGCTGGTAAATGGTCCCATCTGTCTGGATCGAACACATCTGCCGTTTCTCCCCAGTATTCCGGGGCTCGGTGGATGGCGTTGATGGGAACGTAGACGGTTGTTCCAGCAGGGATACGATAGCCGCGGAATTGATCCTCGGCAATGTTCGCCCGCCTGGTGAAAGGAATGGGTGGGATATACCTAAGACTCTCGCGGCAAACGTTGTTGAGGTAAGGTAGACGATCTTCGTCGATTTTGGAAAGCCAAGATTCGTCTTCACGGCTGTCGGAGAAGAGGAACGGCATGTATTCTTGAATTTCCCTCCGCAATTTTTCTTGCGTGGAAGGATACTTTGAGAGCAGAAGCAGGGTCCAGGCAATTCCAGACCCTGTGGTCTCGTGACCGGCGCCGATGAAGGTCATCACTTGATCTCTCATGGTTTCGAACGTCATCTTGCCCTCCATTCTACCATTCGCCGTCAAATTAGCACGCATAATTAGGGACAGGATGTCTTTTTCGCGGCACGGTGTTTCGGTAATCTGTTTGGACTGCTTGTCTCGGATGATTTCGGACGCAATTCTGATAACCGTGCCGCGGGCTGCTGCAAGTGTGTGGTTTGCTTGAACGGGCAAGTATAACGCTAAGGGCGTTACAGATAGAAGTGCGAAGAACAGTCGCCCGCCATTGTCAAGTTTGAAGATTTGTTTGTATGCCTTTCTCATCGGCGTCTCGGGGTGGGTCAGTGAGTCAAAACTGTTTCCCAATCCAGCTTCTCCGATGATATCGAGCGTTGTTCGAGTCGACCATCCAAGTACCTCGATGGACTTGGTCCTGACGTTTTCTTTTCTCAGCTCGGCTCGCCAAAGTCGGGACAGCAGCAATGCTTTACGCCAGAAGATTGGTGTGAGCGATTTGATTGACGAGATCGAAAATGCTGGCGCAAGCGCTTTTCGTTGCTGAACGTGGGCATCCCCATCGACTGTTAGGAGTCCGTCACCTAGCAGATATGCAAGATTGGCTTTGGTATTCGGTGGTTTCTGCCATCTATATGGGTTCCTGATGAAGATCTGTTTCAGCGCTTCGTCATCGATGACCGAGAGCCTAGCGACACCGAAGGGCAGGAACCATCGTACGATTGGGCCGTGTTGCTTGTGCCAGCGCCGTGGAGGGATACCGGCTTCCTCTGTTAGGTACGAATGAGTCTGACCCCATAGCGGAAATCCGGGGACGGTGGGCACCGAGCGAAGTGGTGAGATGTAGAATGGGAATATCCAAGACTGATAGATGATGTAGTAGGACGGTACGAAAACGAAGAACGTGTATAGCCATGCAGAAAGGCGTGTGAGAGATGAGAGCGTTGCAATGAAGGAGGCAATCACCAAGGTGAGAAATAGCAGAGACGGAAATCCCAACTCGTATGCCATGATGAAAGCACTCTCAGAAAATCGATTTCGGCCAAGGTTGCAGTTGACTTGGAAGTTGGGACAGGTCTTCTTTGACGAGCTGGTGGTGTCTTTAACCCTTTAATTAGTCCTTGGAATCCGTATCGCATTTTGATTGTCCTGCCCCTTGTCACATTTGAGTATACCTTATCCGGAAAAGGGTGGGTTGGGCCTAGGCATCTATCTCTGCTGTCTGGAAGCTTCGATCTAAGAAGGATGTGTCAGGTTCGAAGAGGAGTTGCACGGACCTTGCTCTTGGATCGATCAGACTGTTCGAATGTGACCCAGCCAGTCCATGAGTTCACACGCCACAAGTTCCAAGACGGAGAAGAATACCACATCTGGAAAAGGATTTTCGAGCAAATGTAAGACAGGCAAGCCTGGACTTTGGGCCTTTTGCTGTGTTGAGAAAGACGGGATCAACTATTGGAAAAGGCATTCTTGGTTGGAAACTAGGACATCAGAACTACCTAACCTAATGTATAATGTATGTTGCGAACAATCACCTAGGAAAATAACATCTCTCGGATAAGGTACCTTAGGTAAGAAACAAGAGTAGGCTGTTGATGCTCGCTAAAAACATAGTCAAATTCCAGGGTTCCCGGAAGCTAAGGTAATTAGGCTAAAACGTCAAAGCGCCGCTACGCTAGAACCGCCGCTACGGAGTAATGCGAAAGTAAAATGGCATACTTTACATTACCCCGTAGCGGCGTCTAGCTCATCAACGGTACAAACCGCGTGTACCCAGATTCAAGCCCGAGTGCCAAAAGAAGCAGTCCATGTCAATGCGGGCGGTCAATGCGAAGATGATCTGGACCCCATGCGGCCTGCATTGTAAATCAACAGGTACCAGATCTGAACTACCATGAAACGGCTTTGGCGGGCGGGCACAATCTCGGAGAATTACAACAATCCGAATCCATAATTAGGTTCTACTCGAGAGGGGAAGGCAGGTTGTGGAGGATCCGTGTCCCATGCTACAAATGCTTGCCGCCTTAACTGGGCCAGTTATTCGACTGTACTAGGTCGGGTTGACACTTTCGATGAAGCTCTGCTCCTTATAATCGGAGGTGGGAGGGGGAGGGGGGAGGGATAAGCGTACAAGAAGGGTCAAGAATCTACATTGCTTGCAGTCGACATTGCATTTCCCCTTTCTCCCATACTCTTCTGCACACCGAGTCACACCAGCCATGTCTGAGGGAAGCGTGCCGTATCCGTATGGCTCCCTGCCGTCCGGTTCTCTCCAGGCTGCCCCATGGGTGCTGTTCGACAGGATGTGGACGGCGGCAACGGGATACGCTCCGACAAGTTTCCTCTTCATTCCCGGGAAAACGCCCATGTCGACCGCGAAAGAGACGGCCGTTGGCATAGCGGTTTATTACCTGATGATTTTCTTCGGCCGTAGGGCGATGAAGGGTCGTCCGGCTTTCGAGTTGACATCTCTGTTTCTACTGCACAACCTCTTCCTATCCCTCCTCAGCGGCTTTGTGCTTTTGCTCTTCGTCGAGGAGCTGGGGCCTGGGCTTTGGAAGCACGGGATGCATCATGCCATCTGCGGTTCTGGAGGATGGACCAAGCGTCTCGTCACTCTCTACTATGTCAGATTCCCTCACGTGTCCATCACAGCTTGCATACCAACCACTGACACCTCCCTCAGGTCAACTACTTGATAAAGTACTACGAGTTGATCGACACGGCATTTCTCATTCTCAAGAAAAAACCCACCAGTAAGTCCAGCTCCTCAGCAGCAGTCATCCCTCCTTCCCCATGACTCATCCCCCCAACAGCATTCCTCCACTGCTACCACCACGGCGCAACCGTCCTCCTCTGCTACACCCAGCTCGCCGGCCAAACGTCCGTCTCCTGGGTCCCCATCACTCTCAACCTAACCGTCCACGTCCTCATGTACTGGTACTACTTCCAAAGCGCCCGCGGGATCCGCGTCCCGTGGAAGGAATGGATCACCCGGCTCCAGATCCTCCAATTCCTCATCGACCTCGGTACCCAGAACCCCTTCCCCCCCTCCCCGCAGCCCGCTGACATCCCCCCCGCAGCCTTCGTCTACTTCGCCTCGTACAGCCGGGCCGTCGTCCGGTACTTCCCCCGGATGCCGCACGCGGGCGACTGCGCGGGCACCGGCTTCGCGGCCGCGATGGGCTGCGGGATCCTGACGTCGTACCTCGCGCTCTTCGTCTCCTTCTACCTCGTCACCTATCACCGCGTCGCTGCCTCGACCCGGTTGAAGCGGACGACGGGGGCGGAGGCGGTGGTGCGGGATGTGAAGAGGCAGTTTGTGCGGGTTTAGCCCGCGGGGGGTGGGGGGGTTCGTGGTTCCATGTTTGCGTGTGTGTATGTATGTGATCCTTGGGGATCCGAGATGGGTTAGGCAAGACGGAATGGAATGAAATTCAGGGTAAAATCTACACGAGCTCCGGTTTTGTTTTTCTTTTCGGTGCTGCAGCACTTCCAGTAAAGTACCCACCACCAGCATCAGTCCTTCCTCTACCAATTTCGAAGAAGCGAAAGTAACACGCAAGCTTCTTATCGAACAACCAGAAACCCCATCAAACTCCCCAACTGCCACCAAAAAAAGCCTTACGAGAAACCCCAGTTACGGAGATTGATACGCCGAATTCCTTTGCAACGACGCAGCGCTCCCCCACCACAAATTGTCAAAAATCTCCCCCGAAGAAAATCCATCACGGGATCCCCTCCCCCTGCATCCATCAACCTGAAAAATCTCAATGCCGTAGGAAGTATTACAGCGTGTGACCTATGCTCTACCTATCCTATCCCATCGCCTAACGCTTTTACGGGTACGGGTACAGTGTCTTAGCACCCAGCACCGAAAATCTATCTACATGGTACTGATATGGCATCCGAATGCGCCTTCCCACAAAGCAAAGCAAAGCGACATGATTACACATCGCTATTCCATATAGTTTGCAGCGGGATATACATCTCGGGGTATGCCGGCGGCCGGTTTGTTTGTTTTGCCCCGAGCTCAGGTGTCCTGACGGTGTGGATGGATGATTCCGATGGTGGTGGCGTCCTGATATTTGCACCTTTTTCGGCTTTTCGGCCTGCGTTGGAGCAGAGTAGGCATCGTTTAGCCGTGTCCCCTGTGCAACGGTGGGGGGTGAATGGGAATGGGATTGGTCATGAGGAAGAGGGATTGCGGATTTTGAAGGGAGTGTACTCGGGTAATGGCCGTGGCTGTGGGGGGAGGGCCTTTTGGGACTGTCGTAGGCTTTGGATACTTTGTCACGTGATTAAGATCGTTTGACGTCTTATTGCGAGGGATTTTCATTGGGTTTTCGGGCTATTTGGCTTTGGGGTAGTTGTCGGGCCATTGGCTGATGTGGCTGGGTCCAGAATAGCGGGAAAGCCTCCATGTGGGAACAGACCATGCAACCGTGTTTCAGTCATCCACACGGGCGATTGTATTCACTGCATCTATGAGAGTCAACTGTGGCAGCTATCATACATCTTGGAGATACTCCCATGTTCATAGTTGAACTGCAATCCTTTGGTTAACCCATTCTGGTCTGACCAAAGGTGACTTTGCCAGCTGGGATCCTCAACAGAGAATCCATTTCCCAGGTCATGCCAAGCCTCGAGGACGGCCTCACCATCTTGGACCACCACCGAATAGTCTGTTGGGCAGCGATCACATGAAAACAGCACAGTGTGTTGATCTGGCATAGTCGCCGCATTGATAACAGCCTTTTGCAAAATCGCGGCAAAGGAGTGGCCTAGTCCCGTGCCAAGGCCAAAATGGTGGTGAGGGCAGAATACTATATACTTGTCGTAATCTTTCTTTGCTGCGTCTCGAAGCGGACCTGCATACAGGACGTATGTCGCCAACAGTATGAATCTGGCGTTGACGACCTTCGGCTTTGCGGCGAATGTCTTGATGATAGGAGAGCCGACTGGACGAATCTCAAAATTTTGAAGAATGTTCGTTCGACAATCCTGGTGCTTTTCCTTCATTCGAGAGTACTTCAGTGCCAGCTGTACGTGATGGAACGAAACTGCGTAGGAGCGTTGCGGACGCAGATGATCAAACATTTGGTATGGTGTGCAGCATGAGTGGCGGCGGCGATACCAGTTTGTCAAATTTGGGATGTCATCAGGTTCCACAGGGTGTAAGATATTGCACCTGATACAATGATAGTTATCCGGCAACAAGTTCCCTAGCTCGGTCAATGTATTGAATCGATCCTCCCGCACGATAGCTTTTAATTGAAAAGAGCACTTGCTGCGCAGCATGTACCACATAGCCTTGCAGGTATGAGAGAGTAGGATCTTTGCGGATAGAGGGAGTTCGTCGCATATACTGCAAAGGATGTCGAGAGGGAGATCTAGAAAAGCAGACGTCTGCTCTACCGCTGGCGTCACGAACAATTTCCAAGGCCATAGCAATTTAGCGTAGACCTGCAATGTCGAAGTGGTAAGCCAGTATAAGTTCACTTTTTTCTGTGGCAGCATGCGATGGAAGAAAAGGAATTTTAGGGGTAGCAGACGCGAGAAAGGATAGTAAGAAGATGAATAGAGAATGCACGTAGGTAATTGTAGGTGCTGGAGCTGGAGCTGGTGTCTGTTTTCCTTCCAAGGCTAGAAATGTTTTAGGTAAGAGAGTGCGATGGAACTTGAGACGAAGGCTTAAGTTTGTCCAGAGCAAGAAAGATAAAGTAGAGGTACTTGTAAGAAGAGGAAATCGAGCTTATAAAAGATGTGGGCAGATGCCTCGTAGGCTTATTGTTGTAGGTTGCTGGGAACTAAACCTAAAAGGTAACCGTAAATGGTTTAATTTTCTGCAGGCTGTGAAATCCTCCCCGCGCCCTCTCTCAAACCCAACCTATTCGGAAGACTACAATACACCTCGTAGGTGACCAACCTCACGGAACACTTGTCGGCCTATGACAACCGAAGCGAAGCAGATAAAGGGAGCAATATCTTAGGCGCTATTAGGCGCAGGTTTGAGATGCTCCAGGGGCTGCTGAGGGGTTTAAATCAATTTCTTGATATTCCGTCAAGTGACGCCTTACCCAATGAAGCTTTAGCGTGGCCACCTTACCGGAATCGGTAATTCCTGAATTCTACCCCCTGCCAGACGATGGGATATCCCACGAGGCAGAAGATTTGCCGTAGACCAAAAAAAATAAAACGAATGGTGGATGTATTTCGAGTTACAAGTCGTGAAGATCAAAGCGAGGACCCCGATTACGGCGACAGGAATGAATGACAGGCAAATATAAGGTAGTCACAGATCGAAATGCCTCCCGAGGAGATCCACATCGGCGAAGAAATCTTGCTCCAGATCGCCGAGATCACCCCCGTTCACCGTACCCATACCGCGCCGTCTCTCATTCTCAATCATCTCGGACGTGCACCCTCCTGTTTGCATGTTCGTTACCTTTTGGCTTCCGATCCATCCATCCCCATCAACAAAGTCGGATTGGCGTAAGGTGTCGAGTGCATACTGATGCTTGTGCGAGTCTTCGATGCCTGCTTGCCCTGTCACTTCGTTTAAAGTGTGGTGATGCGCCGCCGCTACAGGGAGAATGGGTCGCGGAAAGATCTCATGCGGCCATAGCCCCGAGGTACGGAGCATGACTTCGGGCGGGATTGTCCGGCGCCCGGATTTGAACACGCACTGGCTGATCGCCGTGGCGCAAACGGTGCTTCCTTTGCTTTTTGGGTCTTTGCGGACGAAGTGCGTGATGGTGTACAGCCATTTGGTTTCCCACGAGAGGACCCTGGTCCACATTTCGTACCGCTCGTAGGGCCTGATCTCGCGTCTGAAGGAACACTTGACTGCCCCTAATTTAATCGTGAAGCTGTCCTTTCGGAGGTTGATGATGCCGTTGCCGTGCTTATGCCGAGCTCGGTCTATGCCGACGGAGAAGAGTGTGCATAACAAGTGCGTTCGAGCAATGTCGAGGTCGGAATAGTAGGTGCTGTTGGACTCTGCCTTTCGAGTAAGCATTGGCGAGGAGGAGTCATTCGCGTAATAACGAGGCAATTTCCTTACTGTGCCAATTGAAGTCGATTTCGCTAAGAGAACAATGGGAAGACGTAACGAGCGGCTTAAAAATGCAATTGGGAGTTGGTCCAGGCTCAGCGCGCTGGCAAGGTAGCACAAATCGTAGGGCGTTGAGCAAACGAATCTATGAAGGGGAGAAGACGTAAGAATGGAGTGAAGCTGGGAGTCAAGGGCAGAAGACTTACATGCCAGACCAGAGGAAGTGTTTTGATGTCGGTCACAAACAATGCCAAAACTGTAAGCTTCCATGCGAAATCTTTTTGCAATAAATCCAGTAGAAATATGGTGATGAGTGAAGGAAAGATTTGGTAGGCCATAATGACGGTGGCCTGAAGGAGCAACCGTGTACTTTGGGGTGGTCAGAAAGAGAGGTTTGAATATGGAAATGATGATGATGGATGACAATACCGTACCATTCTTGACCCCAGATTTCATAGAGCAGACAGTAGTGCTCACCACGAACAGGCACTAGGAGTTCTGTAGCAAGATGCAAATACCTATTTGGGCAGATTTGGAAATGGTAAGAGCAGCGTTGACAGAGCAGGGATGAGAATTCAAGCCAGAGCGTCAGGTCAAGGTTCGCGTCAAGTCAAATGGTGTTAGTCTCTATAGACACAGATATGAATAGAGATAGAATTAGCAAAAGAGAGTCCGGTCAGTCGGCGAGTCGGTGATAGTGGAGGGCCGGTGATAATGCAGGGTGGGGAAATTGCCCGAAACTCTATTCAACTTACTAATAAGACCTTACTTTACCTTAAAGTAAGATCTTACCTAAGGTACCTTACACGTACTAGTACCCTACCTCGCTTAGGTACCTGAGAAGATCAATTAGTTTCGCATCTAGCCCAACTTGGATCATTTTGGCGTTACTCCAAATCACTCGACTCCATATTGGGCTTCTCCTTCTTCACCAGTCACCACATACTCTTCAGCTTCTGGAGGAATGCCGCTTCAACTCATCCTGCCACCAACTTACTTACAACTTAGCTCCCGCTTCGTCAACACACCGTCTTGGACCAGCATCGAGGTCGATGGGCGATCTGGAATCCCATCTAGAACTATGACTCCATATTCCATAACGACCTGAACGTCTGACCACACATTATACTTTTCTTTCAACGCTTCGCATTTGACCTCCTACCTAGCCACTGTTCGAGCTCCGCGGGCTAGGAGAATTTCCTTCAAATATTCCGACGTCAAAGCGGCCTCTTGAAAGCTAGGAATGCATCCGTGCAGCTTGGTTCCATCGGCACTTGCTTCTCTCTTTCCAACATCCGAGCGAATCTTTCTGCTATCCATTGCTTTCCGTATTTGAAGCACGTGTGAAATGTGGATATCGTTGGGCCAGGCCTCTGGTACTTTAGTAATGTCGTAGACTAAACAACTGTAAGACTCGACTTATACACTCAAGCTTCCATCCTACGCCTATGTCCCCACCGCCAACGAGGCCTATCAACGAATCGACCAAGGCCTCCTTGAGTAAATCGCCTGATCATGTCTTCCGCGCACCACGACGCCGCCAAGGTACTGGCGGAAGATGAATTTGACAGGACGCCCACTCCAAATTCGCAACAGCTCGAGAAGCATACCGCTGCAGAGGGCACATTCGAGAGCCAGGTAGCCCAACATCCAGCACCTCTGGCTCTTTTTCTTCTCATGCTGGCCATATCCATGTCCACATTTCTCGTGGCCTTGGACCGGACGATTATTACGACTGTGAGCGATCATCTCCGACTTTCACTGGTATTGCTGATCCATCTCATCGTCAGGCGATACCCCATATCACTGATCACTTCCATTCCTACAACGATGTCGGCTGGTACGCGAGTGCATACCTCATCACCGCCTGTTCCTTTCTACCGACATACGGACGCTTATATGGCATGCTGAATACGAAATGGCTCTTCCTCAGTGGGCTCTTCTTGTTCGAGCTTGGAAGTCTGATATGCGGCGTGGCGCCTACGTCTCCGGTTCTCATTGTTGGTAGAGCCGTTGCTGGAATAGGAAGCGGTGGAATTTTGACGGGGTCTTTCGTGGTCGTTACACGCACTTCTCCACTGCGAAAGCGGCCCTTGTACGCTGGTGTTGTTGGAATGATGTGCGTCATTCCTCTCCATCGAGTTCGTGACGGTCGGAACTTGCTAATGGACGGACTGGTTCCTGCTTTAGGTTTGGAGTCGGAGCCATTGCTGGCCCCATTCTGGGAGGTGTCTTCACGGACCGTGCCACCTGGCGCTGGTGCTTCTACTTTAACCTACCTCTAGGGGGCTTGATAGCCGCAGCGACTGTGGTCTTCTTCAAGCCGCACGATGAGAACACTTCTGCCCGGCGCTCTCCGATCCAAATCCTTGTTCAGCTTGACCTTTTCGGTAATGTAATACTTCTGTCGACAGCGGTCATGTTTTTCCTGGCTATGCAATATAGTGCACAACCTCATGCATGGCATACCGCTCGCGTCATTGGTCTACTCGCCGGAGCGGGAGCTGGACTCATCCTTTTCATTGTCTGGCAATGGCGGAGAGGCGAGCGAGCCCTTATACCTCCTTCCATCATGCTTCAACGCAGTGTAGCCGCGGGTTGTATCAACACCTTTTTCGTCTATGCCACGCTTCTGACCCAGGTCTACTACCTTCCCGTCTGGTTTCAAGCCTGCCGGGACAAGAGCGCGCTGGGTTCAGGCGTCAGTATGATCCCGTATGCGTTGGGGAGTTCCCTCTTCACAATCCTGACGGGTGCTTTCGTCTCGAAAATTGGCTACTTCACACCTCCCGCAATTGTTGGCTGCGCCATTGCAACGATTGGATCCGGTCTACTCAGCACACTGGCAGTCAACACCGACTCTTCGAGATGGATCGGCTACGAGGTCCTTGTTTCGATCGGAGTCGGTATGGCAAATCAGCAAGGCTTCGTCGCGGTGCAAAGCGTCCTCAGCCTCGACCAGATCGCCGTTGGTTCCGCCTTGGTGTCCGCTTCTCAAAGTCTGGGTGGTGCCGTCTTCGTTAGCGTCGGCAACGGCGTTCTCCTTAACGAGCTCTATGATGCAGCACTGCCTGGTGTCGACATCAACGCCGTCATAGTCGCTGGTGCCACGGGATTCCGTACTTTTCTTCCGAAAGAACAATTACCAGCACTTCTCAATGTGTACAACCAGGCATTGCGGAAGGTTTTCCTCATGGGGATCGTATTTTCGGGCCTGGCGTTCTTAGCTGCTCTCTGCCTGGAGTGGAGGAGTGTCAAGGGCGAAAAGGGCGAAAAGGGCGAAAAGGGCGACTCGGAGGCGCTCAATGATCAATCTGAAGAAGACTCTCCAGGTCTTGGATTGTAGTGATTAGACAACAGACTAGCTACGCAACACATAACTCTACATAATTCTCACGATATGCTCGAAGTTAGGAGAGAGCGTAAGGAGAGATAAAGAAAAACGGAGACAGACGGAGATAATTTGATATTTCGGCCAGGTCTTGGCACTTTCAGGTCTTGGCATTGAGAAAGCAAGCTTCCCTATAAGTTTGTACGCAAAATTTCATGCTGTTTGAAGCTGTGAAGGCGCACAACATTCAATCGGCAGGGACTGAAGAAGTTGGGCCCACCTACGGTCTTCATTTTTTCTGTGATACAAGGTTGTCTGCATCCTACAAGAACCACTATTGCAATGCCTCCAAACGATAGCGATTCCTCTGATGATGAGAGTGGGAGCTTCACAACTACCAATGTCTTACTTGGCTATGCCTCGAAAGAGCCTACAGACGATGAATTCAGCCAGCTTGGTGGCTACCCGGTATGACTGCACCCCATTGCATCGAGCGCCTGCTAAAGAACCTAACAAGCTGGCTAGGCATGGCTAGACGGAAACGGTGCTCCCTCCGCGGAACTGGCGAAATGCAAGGTCTGCAATAGCATGATGACACTACTCCTACAACTCAATGGAGACCTACCGGGGGGATTCCCGGGACATGAGCGGAAGCTCTATATCTTCAGCTGCAGGCGAAACGCATGCCGGAAGAAAGAGGGGACCTTGAGAGCTATCAGAGGCATCAGGGTCTCGAAGGCTTCCGCTGGGAAACCAAAGAAAAAGGCAAATGGCACAGCGCCACCAGAAATACCAAAGCTTCAACCTGCAGCTCCGAGCCTGGGCAACAGCCTCTTTAAATCCACCTTTTCGACCTCTGCCAGCTCCAACCAGAATCCGTTCTCGATCTCCACAACCACAAGCTCCCAACCTACCAATCCATTCGCCGCTTCGCCCAACTCACACACTTCTCCCGTCTCATCTCTCGCACCCAAACCACCTCAGCCACCATCGACAGATCTCCCCACAACCTTCGCCCAAAAAGCCCGCATCTCCTCCCCTCCACCCACTCCTGCCCATAAGGAGCCATGGCCCTCTCCATCCTCCCTCCCGAACCCATATCCCTCCTATCACCTCGATGCGGAGTACGAGAGTCTCGACCCCGACCCACCCACTCCGTCGAAGACAGCGATGGACACAGACGCAGAAGGTCCAGGCGGCAATGACGACGAAAAAGACGCCTTTGAATCCACAATCGACAGGACGTTCCAAAAGTTCGCAGACCGCTTGGCCCAAAACCCGCAGCAGGTGCTACGCTACGAATTCGGAGGAGCGCCGCTGCTGTATTCGAAGACGGATGCCGTGGGCAGAACACTCACGCCTCCTCATCCACCACCACCATCATCGTCTGGAACCAGGATCCAGACCGTGTCCCAGCCTCGTGAAGGGAGCAGGATACCGCGCTGTCCCAACTGCAACGCGTCTCGGGTCTTTGAGCTGCAGCTCGTGCCGCAGGCGATTGCGGAGTTGGAACTGGAGGAGGAGGGGCTGGAGGGGATGGAGTGGGGGACCGTGATGTTGGGCGTTTGCGAGAAGGACTGCGCGGAGCGGGGCGTCGGGGTGGGAGAGGTGGGGTGGGTGGAGGAATGGGTCGGGGTGCAGTGGGAGGAAGATGCGAAAGCTAGTGCGCGGTGATGGGAAAGGGGGAGATGTCATGATGAGGCGATGATACCTGGATGTAAAAGAGATGCGAGATGGCGTGAACATAACCATGCATAGCGGACAGAACTGAACTGAGATGCTTTTCCATTCAACCAGCATATTCCATGCCCCACGAGAGCACACCACCGTGTCTATCTCCACTCACGAGCTCGTAACTTTTCTATGTCCATGCCGACCCGACCGACCATCCGAAACCTCCTCACACCCCCCATCCCCCATCAAGCCGGCTGCTCATACGCCCTCCTGACCACCCTCCCAAACTGCTCGAACCGGACCTCCTCCCTCACCACCGTCCCCTTGGCCTCATTCTCCTTATTAACCGGCACCACCACCCTCCCCCCTCCCCTCCCCCCCCCATCATCAACCCCCCACCCGCAAATCTCCCGCACGAAGGCCTCGAAGTCTTGCCCGCGCAGATTCAGCCAGCCCTCGGCGACGGGGCGCTCGACGGCGCGGCAGCCCTGGCCGACGGTGACGGCGATGCGGACGCGCATCAGCTCCTCGAAGCCGTTGACGTCGGCGACGAGGTCGGCGTAGAGGTCGTCCGAGTCGAGGAGGTCCCAGAAGTCGCGGTAGGCGCAGCGCTCGAGGCGGGCGTTGAGGCGGGCGAGCTTGCGCACGGCTTCGGCGAGCGGGGCGTCCGGGGTGGAAGGGGGCGCCGCCGGTGCGGTGGTGGGATTGTTGTTGTTGGAGGAGGGGGCGGGGGGGGGGGGGAGGGGGAGGGGAGGGAGAGGATGTGGGGCGGGAGGAGGTGGAGGCAGAGGGCGAAGTCCGGGGCCGGGAAGACGGTGAGGGCTTTGACGAGGATGTTGGTGACGGGTTCGTCGCGGGTGAGGTGCGGGTTGAATTGGTATCTGTGGGGGGGGAAGGGAAGGGGAGGTGGTGGTTAGTGAGGGTCTTTGAAGAGGGAGGGGGGGTGAAAGAGGGGGTTGAAAGCGAGGGGAGGAGGGGGAAGGGGGGTGGGGTCAGATAGAGCTAATAATCTAGCATCAGGAGCGGAGACTCGATTCAAATTCCGTCTCGGTGCTCGGTCAGGTAATAGGAAACGTTTGAAGGTTTGGTCATCATGTATATCCCCCCCCCCGGTCCACAAAACGCACACGCACAGAAAGAGAGAGAGAGAGAGACGGAAGCAAAGAGTGTAAAACTCACAGCTTCAGCAGCGCCAAATTCGCATAGCAGTCATAGGTGCGGTCCTCGCACTGCTGTGTGACATAGTCTTGGAATATGGTCGTCGTTTCGGGATTGTATCGGTCGAGACCGTTGAGGATGGCTTCGATGTGTTCGGGCCTGTCGGGCGCGGAGTCGAAGGCTATGCCCATGGTTGTGGTTGGTGGTGGGGGGATTTCGGTGGGTGGTGGTTGAAGGGGAGGATTTTTGGTTCGGGTGCGAGTTTCAGGTGTGGCAGGTCTAGCGAGATTTTTATATCGAGGACTCTGGCTAGATTTACCCGTTCGCCATGGTTCTAATAGCAATAGGTCATTTTGACATGCGTGCATGTCTCTAAAACCATTGGCTACACAGTGTAATACTTCACATGTTGATTATCTGAATTGCAATTGCAATGCTCGCTCTAAAAAATCTACTTTCCGGAAAAAAGCGCTTGGGTATCGCATGAAACGTAGTCTGAACAAGACTGAAAGGCCGCTTGAGCACGCTAAACCGCTAAAAATGTGGCATGGCCCATTAGAAAAGAATCCTCCAGGCATAGTATCATGTCCATCGGGTGGTCCAGTACTAATCCATGTCAGAGTTGCCTGACACTGTTGTACAGCCTGGTCGAGAGGGGCCGGTTGTGTTTAAGAGACACACGTTCTTCCTCTCCCGATCATATCCCATGCTGGATACTTTCCTTCGGTGTTGGAGGGTGGCTGTTCTAAATTGCGTCTCATGTTGCTTTTGGTCGATGATAGATGAGTGTGTGCTTAGTTGTCCAATCCGTAAAGGACGATCCAACTTTCCATGCTCCTCTCATCCACCATAACCCCCCATCAAATCTCTCAACATTCCCACAAATTCCAGATGCAGCTCCGCAAAGAACTTGTCATCTCCCACCATCTCCGTCAAGCCCCTCGCTCTCATCCTAGCGGCCCCATACTGTCTCGGATAGCCATCCGGATCTATCGTTCTCCCAGTCAGGAATGACGACACAGGAATGCAATGCTCCTTCGTTATGTCTTCATGATCACCTCGGTCTCCTTCATTTTCTTTGATTTTCTGCGCCGTCCTCGTAATGATATTCTCTGCAATGCGTCGAAAATGCTCCCAGATGAACGTCGTAACCTGATACGCTCTGGTCTCGCTGCTGGCGAGTGCTATGAGCGCGTATTTACGATGACCGCCGCGGGCATAAGGGTCCGAAAGGCGGAATTTGTACGCTATGGTCCAGCCGTCTAGTGGGGTACCGAAGAACAGTTCACCGGCCGTCTGACCGCGAGGGAGCTGTTCGCCAGACAGAGTGCGGATGGCCGCTCGGCGGATGATGGAGTAGGTATTCGGATCGGTAGGGCTCGAGGTGGAAATGTAGGACAGGGTGTGTTTGTGATAGAAAGATGCCGAGGTATCGGAGGCGAAGGACTCGGGTGAGGCTTGCTGGTTCAAGCGTATAGGTCCTTCATGATCTTCCTCGGAGTCAGAGTCGGTTTGTTGGTCCCGGTATATCTGGAGCGACTCTTTGAAACGCAGGATCGGACTGCCATTTCGGCCACTGCCATCGGCCTTCGGACTTCCCGGGGCCCCTGGAGGTATTTTGCTGGATATTTCTTCCGGGAGGCTTATGGTGCAGCTCTCACATCCTTTGCCATTGCTACCGGCGACCGGGAAGCGGCTGAGTGGATTCAGAGGCCTCGGAGCGTTCTGCCTGTGAGCTCCGAGGGTAGCTGGTTGGATCTCCGGAGAAGTGCTTGCGCTGTTGGGGGCTGACTCCGGAGTCCCGCCGAAGTCAAGAGAGCTTCTGTTCGAAGATGACAGGAATGCAGGAGCTGACGGTGCTGGACCCCTATGAGTTGCGTCCAGGTCCCCCACGCTCGACGATATGGATGCGGGATAGCAAGACAGACATTCGACCGGCTTGATCTGGGTGCAAAGGATGGAAGTCGGGCCGTCATTTTCGCAGAAGTGGGACAGGGAAAGCTATTGGATTGCGCAGCGATCAGCCCACAGATCACGATCGAGATCTCGGGTCCTGTAGGAACCTTGGAACTGGGAAAGAGAAAGCAGGAGAGGATTAAAAGGTGGAATTGATCCGTGCGCAGACTTACGATGATATCCATCTTTGGCTTCCTCCACTACACCCTCACAGCTTCACCTCGCGCCCCATGCCTTAGAGTGGGTAGAGGTAGTGGTGTCGTGTGCGGGATTCGGAATGGAAGCGACACATGTGATATGATCGGGGTCACGAGGACCGGGGAAGATCTCGTTCGATTCCGTGACTCTCCTTTTGGTGTGAAAGCCCAGTTGGCGCGCTCGAATTTAGATAGATGGGGTACAGCTCTGCCGTGATGGTAGAAGAATATGGTAGGTAACGGTAGGTAAAAAAAACCACTCAAGCGGTGAAGCACCCACTCGATCTCTCTCTCACTCCTTTTTCTCTACCCTGCATTCGATCATCGATCCCGGCCAACGTTGCGATGCAATGCGCTCCAATACTTGTGATAGGGGCCAATCAGCCGCAACCAAATCCCCGTCGCAGAAACAATCCTGCAGAAGCTCTCAAACAGGTCGCGCCTAGAGTACCCTATCCCTAATCAAATCTGTCTGCGCCGGCAAATGTTGGGTAGAAAAGCGGCGGGCAAGGGTGATAGTTCCAGCTCCAACAGACAGGGAGGCTCGATCTCCGGCTGAATGGCTAGCGTGCCGGTTCCCCGTTAGCGTTATCGGCTTGCATACGTCCGATCGGAAAAACCGGCATATGACAGGCATATAGTCAAAGTTGAACTATTTATTTATCCGAGAATTTTGGTTCTTCGACAGTCGCGTGGGAGTATTGATTATGAAACAAAATATAATGGATTCAGATGTGTGTGGGAAAGCGGTCGTACGCTTTCAAGCCTACAACTAGTATAAGTTACTGTTTAGTGACGGATTGCTAGTGATCACCTTTTGGTCTAGTTGTAACGAGCATAACCCGTCCCGCTTCTGATTCTTGGGGGTTGATTGATCATCCCATCAGTCTCGTTGCTCGGGGTAGGAGATGGATCGTAGTCGTGTAGACCACGCTGACACGGTGGTACATGCGCTTGCCTATCCAATGTGGCTACTTCATTCCGATGCTTCCCCTACTGGTCGATATCTGATATCTCTTCTAATTCTCCTGATTCTCCCACTGCTCCGTCTACCCCCATCGACAATGCTGGCCCAAGGCTGCCTCTCCGCCCAGCTCCGCTCTTCTTCTCCATCAAAGCCTTCGTTGCTGTCCAACTTGCCGTCTCGTACCCTTCGCTTTGCTCTTTCCAACTCATACCCTTCCCTGTAGGCCCACGTAGGTGTGTCTAGAGAGCCTCTGACAAGTACAATATTAGGGGACCGACTCTGTAGAGTGCTGGAGGGAATGGGCGTGAGTAAATGAATTGTCTTGTGATTGGGGTCGATACCTCTAATGAGCGCTTGACCAAGGGAAAAAGACCGGTCTGGGGACAGAAGAGAGTCGGTGTGATTGGACGAGGGAAGAAAGGGTATCGCGGTAGCAGTCCGCAGTACTGACGGATGGTTTGGGGTATCTGCGCCTTGATCTGGCATATTTTCATCCTGTTCAACGCTCCAAGCGCTGTCCTCTCCTAGGCTAACTTCCCCAACACTCTGGTCAACAGCTACTACACCAACCACACATCCATCCAGAATACTGTTGAGAAACGTGTCAAGGAATTCGGTGCTTGGTGCGTCACCAAGAATTGTAACCGCTTGAATTGCTTGTTTTGGGCCTGCGTAATGTATGACCAGAGGCGCCATACCGGTAAGAGGCCATGGATTCCAGCGCATTTCGTGGTCGCTCCCTTCTGGTTCGCTCATATGAAAATACGAGAGTGTCTGCATCATCCGGAAATCTGCCGCTGGTCTAGTCGTAAAGTCTGAGGATTGCGAGCTCAATTGATGAAGTGCCACATTGTTCGCCCTTTTTGTCGCCTTGGTCAACGTGTCGACTACCTCCTCAGGCCCTGATGTGCTCATATAAATGACATCCGTGACGTCCATACCATGGATCAGCTCAGACAACAGCTCCAGCCCATTGCCTTGAATCCAGCCCGCGCTGTTGATTATCAGCGGACATGATCTGTAGTCTCTTGCCATCTGTCGATAATGGTCGAAAAGGTCCAATGCGCATCGGTAGTAGTGTTTTGGATCCTCTTTTGGAGAAAAATGGCCAAAATGGTGTGCTCTGAAAAGTTGATTGAGCCCAGATGTCGGATGGGTGAAAGGAGGTCCAAGGTTCCAGGATTTTAGCCGGAGCAAGGAGAGATTACCAGGCGGTGAGTATTCTGGCTGACCTGGGTCAAGGTCTAAAAAGGCGGCGCATTCGTTGTCTGTCACGCTCTTATCCCCGATGGCAGGCGCTTCTTGAAGTAATGAATTGGCTAGTATGCGGCAAAACGTAGATTTCCCAGCGCCCTTTGGACCGCAAACCATGATGGCTAGGGGTCGTTCGGTTTTGACAGATTGTAGTCTGGACACCGTTCGTTGCCAGTCGGATGGGATTTCCAATAAACGCAGTGGGCGACGATGTGGGTCATCTGCCGTGGATTGGATCTGTCAATGTGTCAGAATCGTTGTTTCATATCGCTGTACACGGCCATGAGGACATGGTAGCGCCCAGAATCTGGGCGTATTCCAGGTAGGTATCGTCAAGAAAACGGTTGACAAGAGCGCAATTAAACATGATGTATACTTACATTCACGAAAGAACGCCTCGAGAAAGCAAATGGTGACTTGGAGTGCTGCTTTCCATTCCAGATACGTCCAAATTTAGGCGCTATCTGCCTGAGCATCTTCATGCGGCTTCCGCACGAGAGGATGGTAAGCTCGACAGGTGCATTTCCCGTACCGAATGGATTTGGTACGGGCCGAATTGGCGGTATCGAATGGGTTGATGGGGCATATACCCGGTGTAAACGAGAGCTGGCATGGATGACAGCCCCAAGAATGCCAATCGCGCCGGATCGAACCCATATATCGTACTGGCCCAGTATTGCTAGATTCTAGGTACACCTCAGATCTTGCAACGTAAAGTAGGAGACAGGCCAGATTCTCACGTCGTTCGGATGGAGTCTGACCGTCCATTCGGTTTCTGTTTCGCTCAGAACCTTGCTTCTTGACGGGTCGAATATCGAGAGCCTCTGAACTGGAGCCAATGACTGTGCGAGAGTCTCTGGCTCATTGACAGCTCCTGAGTAGCTTTCACTATCACTCTCGATAACCTTCGCGCCATCCTCAAGGGATCCATCCCACACGTTGACCAAGCCATCTGTTTGCTGCGGTTGTCGCGGGCTTCTATTCCTGGGCTCATTCCCCCGTTTCTGCTTCTTCTTTGGTGGCTTAGATCCTTCAAGCGGATCGATGTATGTCTCGGTCACCAGCGATGTCTGCACCTCGTTCTGGCTCGTCGCCTGTCCAATGGGTCGTCGAGCAGCCTTGCGGGCTGCAAACGCACTGACTGCAGGGTCTGCTATCAGAACAAGGTCGTTTCTTGGGGCAGAAGCTTTACTTTACCTGCCATCGCTGTACCATTAGCCGTGTACTAAACGGCAAGCTGGCCGTAAACCCACCATTCTCATCAACTTTAGGAATATGGTTGAAGTTGAATTCAACATTTTTGCGGACTTTTGGCCGCTTGCCGGCGCCTGTGCCAGCCCTAACCGTTGGCCCTAATCTAATCTAATCTACGAAAGTCACGCTACCAGACCTCGCTCAAAGCCCAAACTGTCGTCCACGCGATTATGAAATCTGCAAGAGCTTCTACATAGACGGTCTAGAGATCTTGGGGGGATCTACCTAGATAGTGAAGGTGTTTCAGACACAACAATGGCAGATGCAGCGGCGGAGCTAGATGAAGGGGGCATTCAAAGAACTCTGAAAGACCTTTTCGCTGGCGCTGCCGGTGGAGTTGCTCAGGTATTGCTTGGTCAGTTGGGTATTTTTGCTGCTCTGCACTTGATGATCGGTGCTTTTTTGTTCCATAATTTGCCGCAATACCAGGATATATTACCCCAAATTGCCGTTTTTCCTGCTTCGATACTCCTTGTGGAGGAAAAGAAAAGGTCGTAGTAAAGCTGACAACTTGAAATATAGGACAACCATTCGGTAAACCTGGCCCTCAATCTTCATGTTTGAAGAATCCATATTGAATTTCGACTGCCAGATATTGTCAAAGTTCGCCTTCAAACGACCACAAGATACTCCAGCGCTCTAGATGGTGCAACCCAGATCTTCAAAAATGAAGGCCCTGCGGCATTCTACAAGGTAAGATTCATCTTGCCTCGGGAAACCCAAAGAACCCAATTTACTCATCATTGTGGAACGTTTTCGTAGGGTACATTAACACCTCTAGTTGGCATCGGCGCCTGTGTATCAGTCCAGTTCGGCGCCTTCCACTACGCCCGTCGCCAATTCGAACAATCCAACAGCACCGGCAATCCCGCCAACCCCACTCTCTCATATGGCCAATACTACCTCTCCGGCGCCTTCGCCGGCGTCGCCAACTCAGTCATCTCAGGCCCCATCGAGCACGTCCGTATCCGGTTACAAACCCAGCCGCACGGAGCTCAGCGCCTCTACACCGGCCCAATCGACTGTGTTCGCAAACTCTCCGCCCATGAAGGGGTTCTAGCAGGTTTGTATCGCGGAGAAGCGGTGACTATACTGAGGGAGGCTCAGGCCTACGGCGTCTGGTTTCTCGCGTTCGAGTACATGATGAACGCCGACGCCGCACGCAATAGTATCAAGCGCGATGAAATTAGCCAAGTAAAAATAGCGACGTATGGGGGCTTGGCGGGAGAGGCGTTGTGGTTGTCGAGTTACCCGTTTGATGTCGTGAAGAGTAAGATGCAGAGCGATGGGTTTGGGCCGGATAGGAAGTACAGGAACATGAGAGATTGCTTTGCGCAGACGTGGAAGGGCGAAGGGGCGAGGGGGTTTTGGAAGGGGATTGGGCCGACGTTGTTGAGGGCGATGCCGGTCAGTGCTGGGACTTTTGCTGTGTGAGTACGCCCTTTCTTTATCGAGGCACGATGGCTTTTGCTGATACATCGAACAGCGTGGAAGCGACGATGAGAACGCTGAAGTAGATATTGGCTTGCCTATGTAGATTCAGTGTCTGCGTTCTTGGATAATGAGATCTAGGTCCTGCGGACCGAACATAAAAACCCCGTTGCTTTCAACACAGCACGACTCAACCACAAAACGATCTACAGCAAGATTCTTGATTGCATTATCCAATCCCAGATAGATCTAAGCTACGCCTATATAGGCTTCTAGAAAGCCCGTCTTCTCTCTCTCTCTCTTTAACCCGTCTCGCATCAGAATCCAACAACTCCATCTTCCTCCAGCATGAATCATCAAGGTACCTAAATGTACCCTGACATCTTCTTTCTAGGTCCTCGTAGAGGCGGGCCCGTATGCTAACTCCAGTATGCATTGACGACATCGCTGCCAAGCTCGCTCCCGCGTCCAAGGCGCCATTTGGAGTTGCTGAGATCCCGCGAACGGAGAGCACGGGACTGTTTTGGTGATCCGTTCACCCGAAGAGGGCTGGCTGTTATGATGAGGATATAGAAGAAGATATTTCGGTCATACATACCTTTTTATGAGGGGGGGGGAGAAGAGAAAAGAATTGATCTTAATGCAACAATGTCCGGCAGATCATCGTAGGTATCCTACCCTCTTCCCGCATCGAGACCCGTAATCCGTGACAACGTCGACATCCATCCGAATCCTCGCGTAGAACCCGAACACGAGCTTGAACATCCATTCAAACAGGTGAAACTCCCAATCATGTCCTCTTCCGACAGTCGCTCCGAACTACAGCACAGCCTTTCTAATAACATGATAGCCTTCGCTTGCGAGTCTAGAATCACGCTCAGGAAGCATGGCGGTACATCAGAGCGGATGTCCGAAACTGCCATCGCAACTTGCAGACGCGTCGGCAAGCGCCACGTGTGGGCTGGAATTGGGCGCGAAGTCCGGTGCTGTCCGTGGAGTGGGCTTTGCTTCGAGGCGTTGCGGTAGATGGGGACCGGGTGCTGGGCGGAGAGTCTGTTGTACTTGTTGGTTTCATCCCTGATGTATCGTCAGCGACTGCTTGTTGAGAAGGCTGGAATGGGGCTGTCTGCTGGCGAAGAGCCCTAGCGTGATAAATGGGTGACGGATAAGTTGATATATAATACAGAGATGGGGAAAAGTATTATACCGTTGGCTATGCGTTGCTCTCAAGAGACTGATGATCGAGAAAGTGGTTGAATGAAAGTGTGTGTAGCTTCCTTGAAAAAGGAGATAAAAAAGGTCACGATGGAGAAGAGAGAGACGATTCATGGTCACTCCATTAGACTTTCAGATTTGCACGAGAAAAAAATTATGACATTGATAGCGGTCTGCGGTTGGTGAGGTGGATTTTTGTTTGTAGGTTATGTCGTGGGATGAGGCTCTGGGCGGGCGGGTGCCGCTCTGGCGGGGATTCCCCGGTATGCGAAGCGCCCGTACAATGGATCAAGGAGGGGCGCGCCGCGGCGGATAGAAAAGGGGATTAGAAAGGGAGAAAGAGAGGGTTGGCCGCCGTTGATAGCGCTGTAGTTTGCTTTATTGTTGGGTAGTGCTGTGTTGAAAGCACCCTTCAGATATGCCAGTGGGTTGAGAAATGCCAGCCATCGCATCCCGCCTTCTGTGTCCTACATTTTAATTGCCATGGGCCCTCTGGCGGTAATGTCATCCATCGCAGGAGCCTTGGGACCTGACTTAGCTCCAGCCTTGCGAAGACCCAAGCTTCCCCTGTGGACGAGTGGCAACCCCCCATTGATAGCGTCGCTGGTGAAGCTGTCAATGCTCAGAGTATCCTCTCGGCGCAGCATCTGCCGGGCGCGAATAGTTTTCAGGATGCGCAGCTCATTCGGAGAGAGACCCTCAGGGTCAACTATAGCCTTCTCTTCGACCTGCGCTTCAGTCTTGGTAGTAGAGAGAGCGGCAGGGGCTTCGGCATTGTTGGCGAGCATGGCAGTTTCCATTTTTCTCAGGACTGCTTCATGTTTTTCAGGGGCATGGTGTTCGAATGCGTTGAGACAGAAGTCGACTGTCTTGTTGATCTCTTCTTGGCTGAGCTTGCCAGTCACATCGGTTGTTCCTTGGATGAATAGAAAGTAGATTTAGTGATGAAGGCTTCGGCCAACGAGTCCGGGGGGGAAGCCATACTCAGTCTGAAGTGTGCAAAAGCTGTCTCAAAGCCATCCTCATCCCACTCACTCAAGATTGGTTGGTCCTGTTTCCTGATCTGTTTGAGAGCACTCAAAACCACAAGCAGAAAACGGGTATAGCCTTCGGAAACTTTGCTTGAATGCCATTTGACTGCGGTCTCCTCGTCGCAGTCTCCTCTCATCGCTGCGCGGATTGTCGTTGCAGCCGAGAGAGCACCTGACAGCGCCAGATGAACGCCAGATGAGAAACATGGGTCAATGAAGCAACCAGCATCGCCAACGATACGAAGATACGGAGTGGGGTAACAGGAGGCGCTGTAAGACCAATCTGACGCGGCCTTGATACTAGACACGAGTTCGCCCTTTGGCGAGAATTTCGCTGACGCCAGGGGCAAATTTGAGAGATTTCATGTAAAATTCGTGAGTAGATGGAGACTTCATGGCCTTCTTCCTGGACATGGCAAGCTCTTAGTTCTGCACGACGCCGACAGACGTCGTGCCATTGTGCAATGGAATGTACCAGCACCAGCCACTCGCGTCTGGAAAGAAAAGTGCGTCAGCATCACTAAGAGTTGGGTAGAACGGTATGAATGATGGAATTACCAAAGAGTGCCTCAAAAAGAGGTTGTCCTTGTCTCGGGGTGTCTGGGACATACTCTCCTGCCCCTTTCCAGTAACCCCAGTTGGCGATATTTTTCAATCCTTGATTGTTCTTCCGATTCTTCAGATACTTGGTGCTTACCAAGCCCGCTCGCCCACTCGCATCGACAAGGTAATCGAATTTGATCTGGCCAGAACTGCCATCTTTGCGCGACCAGGAGGCAGAGACTGGGCGTCCCGGGTGTAGAATACCGGAGTCCACGGTCCCATTCTGGTTGTCCGATGGTACAGATTCGATTGAGTCGACTTTGACACCGTCAAAGATCTCCGCACCACACTTGCCTGCATGCCTGAACAGTTAGTCGTCCCCCTCCGAGCGAACCACGTTCCATGAGTGATTTCCTGCGCCACCGTGCGCGACGAAGTCGGTAACTATTCACACCGTTTATAATCTATCAACGTATTTCCTAGGGAGGATCTAGGGAGGAGACACACGGTGGGATTGGGGGGCTGGTGGGAAGTTGAAGAAATGGAGGGGGTGAAGAAATTTTTGGTTTGTTGTTGAACGTACATCCCTCAGGCTTGTCATTGAGCTTGCATGCTGCCCTCGTCTGTTGGGAATTCGTCAGTGCCAGAACTCTGAGGCAATGGTGAGGCCGAATGAATTCACAAATGTATCGTCCAAGTCGACGAATCGCAAAATATGACGCATCGACGGGAGCATGCTCTCGCCAACATAATATCTAGCAAAACGAGCTCGCGTCTCTCAATCACATAATGTGCAGAGCGAAGAGAAACGTCGTAGTCAGTAAGAACCATGAATAGACATCGGCGCACCTTGGAAACTTTTCTGCCTCCAACACGACACTTGACCCTCTCGCGTACCAGCGCTGAAGCTGTGTATGAGCCTCCTGGGCCCCCAACCACCACTAACACCGTAGTTTTACTGGGAATAGACATGGCGTTTCGCTATGAAATGAATGGGTCCGACTGGAATACTCTTTTAAGAGGATGTAGGATTAAGAAAGGAGGTTAAAGGACTTGTATAAATCTCAACCTCAGATCTGGGTTATTGTAGCTCCTAGACTAAATCGTGGATTGATTGTCTCTCTGTGGTCTGACCACTCTCGTTCCGTATACCTATACCAAGGTGATCTACGAGTATTGCCATACTCGCATTGGAAATATGCGATATTTTGTATCTTTCGTTCTCTTCATTTCTGTATGCAGCCTAAGGCTATGATAAATATGAGGCAATTTCATGGGCCTAGCATGCCAACACTCTCTGTTCCATGTTTCGTTACATTCGAAAACCAGCACCAGGTAAGAGACAGTCCGGCTGTCTTCTATGGCCGTAGAGACCCAAATGTGAAGTCCTCCCCCCCCAAAGACACTCCCCCTGCTCGAGGATCTTCAACTTCCTCTGGTCATCTGTCAGGGATTTCTCGAAGACCTGACAAGGGGTGCCACCTCCGTCTTCTACGGCCATACGGTTCAAAATGTCGGGTCCTTCTCCGCCAAAGACTCCTTCTGCTCCAGGATCGCATGCCTACTGGAGGATTTCCTTGCCTACCTTCCGTGAGACTTCCGTGCCCACTAATCTAGCCCGCAGTACGCGTCGCTGCAGCTCTTCCGTGCTTTCTCCGACAGCAGGGTTTCGTGCCTCCGTCGTAGATCTCTCGCTCTAGCCTAACTTCCTCGAGCCAGTCTTTCTTCTCCGATGACTACTATCTCGAGAGCTAAGGTACTCTGACTGCTCGCTGCGGAGCTTTCATATCTATTCGATGTAGTCTTTTCGAGACACTTTCGACCTCTTCGCTCTCAGAGCCATAGCATTCTTTTCCCACCATCCCACAACTGTATATAGCTATGGTTTCAGTCCAGTTCTCTGCCGCATATGTATTCAAGTTTTCTTGGCGCTGGGGCACGAATTCATGTCTGTTCAGGCGTATTGGCCTGGTGTTCAGACGGCCCGCTCGTAAATACACATACACAGTTGTGCACATGTGTTACGTGAAGCTATTACATGAGCATAAGGTTTTGTGAGGACTTAGAATGCGTTTCTCTCTATTAGGCATTGCCACCTCCTGAATCACTACCTTTGATATCCTCCGCGCTCCCTCCCGTCCTCGCCCCTTGCGTCGATACCGACAAATCGGTCATCAGTGTATCAGGGGTATAAGTAACCACCCCCTTCATTGCCATCTCTTTCCTTCTCGCTTGGCCCTCCTGACCCGCCCTGCCTAGAGCACCAGCTATAACCTGCACACACCTCAAACTATCATCATTCGCCGGAATCGGATAGGTAACCCAGGTCGGATTAGCATCCGTATCAATAACACCAATAGTTGGTATGGTATTCAGTCCGCATTCGTGCAACATAACCCAATTCTCCAGTGGATTCAAGCAGACGACCAGATCCGGTCTGAGGACTTGGCGTTCTCGTAACTCTTCGTCGTATCCCTTAATCTCCCGGTCCAGCTCGTCCACAACTTTTGTCCTGCACTGACCCAATATCTGATGCCCATTTGTAATACTTCCCGGCGTCCACCTTTCAAACAAATGACATCCACCGGCCATCTGTGCCGCTTTGACCACACACCTATCTTGTCCTGCCCTTGTACCCACAAACAGTATCAATCCTCCCCTTTCAGCGACGCCAGAGACAACTCTACAGGCGCGGCGAAGATGCGCAGCCGTCTGGTCTAGGGAGATGATATGGATGCCTTGCCGTATGCCAAAGATATATCGAGAATTCATAGGATTCCAATGGGAAGTCTTGTGGCCAAGATGTGCTTGAGACGCGAGCAGCAGCTCGAGCGTTATGTCGGATGGGAAAGGGGGTTGAGTGAGGAGCTTGTGCGGTTGGTAGTGGTTTTGGTCTATGGAGGTACCGAGGGGTTTCGTGCGGTGTTGATTGAATCGGTAGTGATCAAATCTCTCAGCCGTCCCATCTTCGAGGAGGTTTTGAGCGGCGTGGGAGCGATTGTCGATTTGGGGAACGTATTGAACTGTCTCATTCTCGATTTGTGATTCTATGGATTTTGTCTCTCGTAAAGAGTTTTCTAGAGATGCTTCAATTGAGTCGGTGGACGATGGGAGAGTGTCGATGTCGACCTCAGTGGCTAGGGATCTTGTCCACGATCTTGTGGGATTTGTTGCTATTCGTCGGCCTACGATGGAGTCAGCGATGAGAGAAGCTATTAGTGATACTTCTACATACCATGCCGTATGAACGCTCTTCTTAATATCATTGTTGATGTGCAGGAGAAGCACAAAATGAACGGCGCCAAGAGCTTCCAAAAACGTTTCGGCAAAGTTGCTCGTTTGAGATTCGACACGTCCCACACCACGACGACTCCCACAGCATTAGACAGTGGTCACATCTCAGCCACTCAGTTATGTACGATGATGCCTCTCTCTATTACTCATTCAATCCAAGCGCACAGCCTCAGCAAGAAAAGTCTCAGTTGCCTAAGCATAAGAGGAGACAATCTGTTTTGGACCGACCCAACGTAAGCCCAGGACCTCAGCTTGCAACGGATTGCTTTCTGATGTTTTTCGCAGGAAGACATCCAGGCTGACACTGGTCGATTAGATCGCCTTGGAGACGTACTCGAGGTCCCGCAGGAGGTCGCTGGACCACCGGAAGCAACGCTGTCCCGTCGGGCACAATCTTATAGCGATTTCCATGATGCGGTAAAAGCTGTACTGGGTCAGGATGTGGTTTCTGGAGGGGCTGCGAAGGAGACAACAAAGGGAGACGAGAAGACTGAGAAGGCAGATATCACGTCGGAGCTAGACTTTGCTGATTGGTACAATGCCCTGGAACGCGAGTTACTAGACTCCAGTCATGATGATTATACGTCCGTCGCTTTTTGGAAAATTGAGAGACAAGCATGCTGAGGATGTCTACAGAAACTATCAGAGACAGTTGGAACTATCTCAGTCGCACCTGGACACTCTACTATCCGATACATCCTCGACGCTTGATCTATTAGCATCGTTGACCAGCTCGTTCAAAGATGTTGAAGCGCAGACTACAATTTTTCAAAGGCAATGTGCAGGGCTGCTGGATGAGCAGACAAGGATCACAAGACTTGCTGACAACCTCGACGATAATCTCAAGTACTACAACTATTTGGAGCCTGTCACTAGACGACTGAACGCACCAGGAGCAGGCAATTTTGTGAGGAGCAAGGAGTTTTCTGAAATGCTGGCTCGGCTTGACGATTGCTTAGAGTACATGGCAGCTCACGTAAGTGTTTTGCTCAGTAAATTATTGGGACGGGCTTAGCTAACCATATTAGCCAAAACAACGAGAAGCGGGGGCTTACCAGTCGCGCTACCGTTTGCTGATGACAAGAGGCTTAACTTTGATCCGTGTCCATTTCGTCAGTGCTTTGCGAGAGACTGCCTCCGACGTCTCGAGACGTATTGCCGATCGCCAATTGAATGATACCACGAACTCTGCACTTCTATACGCCAAGTTCCGATTTGGTGCGTCCGAGCTCAAGGAGGTCGCCCAGGAGATTCGGAAGCGAGCGGTCGTTCCGGTTGGTGCTGAGCCTGGAGCTGAAGCAGAGTATCAAAGCTTAATGAACGAATTGTATACGAGCTACTCGGCCACTCGTGGTAGGCTCGTAATTCCACTCGCCAGGAAGAAAATTGCAGACATTGCGTTGGCTCCAAGTACCTCGAAAGAGCTTGTTTCCTTTGCTCGAAGCAGCATTGGCTACACTCGTGGAGTCTGCTCCGATGAATACGAGCTTTGGCGGGAATGGTTTGAAGGAGAACATGGTCTGTATGACTTTCTCGAATCCGTGTGCGAGCCGTTGTACGACCATCTACGACCGAGGATCATTCACGAGACTCAACTGTTAAAACTGTGCGAATTGTGTACTCTTTTGCAAACCAGGTATATGCATGACCAAGACGAAGAGGCCGAGCCTATGGAGGCAAATCAGTTTGACTTCTCAATACTCATCCGTACAGCGCTTGAAGATGCCCAGACTAGACTTGTCTTTCGTGCTCAAGCTGTCCTACGTGATGAAATTGAAAGATACAGACCGAAGAAAGAGGAATTGGATTACCCAGCTCGCAATCGACGAGTTTCCCTATCTGGTACCAAATCCCAACGTCCACGTGCCACATCTGGAAGGAAAGACTCAAATGTGGAGCCTACCACTCCGATGCCCAAGACCCCCATGGTTGTGGAAGAGGGAGATTCGCCGAACGGACGCTGGGGCTTCGACATGGAAGCAGCTTTCCAAGGCTGGTATCCTACCCTGAGGAAAGCAATTTGGCTCCTGAGTCGTATCTATCGGCTCGTCAATGTATGTCTCTGCCTTCCGCAGCGTTTCCTTTACGATGTTAATTCTGACCGCAGTCCACCGTCTTTGATGATCTGGCGCACAACATAGTCCACCAAACCACCGTCTCCCTCAAGCATGCTTCCACACTCGTCGCCCAAAAGACACATAACAACTCAGCTGATGGCCGCCTCTTTCTTATCAAGCATCTATTAATCCTCAAGCAGCAAATAGTAGCTTTCGACATAGAGTATGTCACGCCAGACATCTCCTTCGATTTTTCTGGTGTCACAAACACATTCTGGGAGCTCCGAGAAAGGGGCGGCCTTTTTGACCCCCGGAACCTCTGGCGAATTATGGGTGGTGGTCTCCTACCAAAAGTCGTAGAAAACATGCTCGA